ACTTGTACGTACAGCCAGGGTGTGGGGCGCGGGTCTCCACAAAGCATGATAGATTTGGTGAGTCACCTAGGTACCTATACGCAGTACACATTTCTGCTGTGCTGTGTTCTATTGTTTGATTAGTGTACATTTTTTAGTCTCTAGTTCCTCACTTGCATAACGCCGAATAGCTTCTAGGTATTACTTCTGTTGTATAACATGTTCAAGTGCAGGTGTGTTTTGAAACACTGCGCACTGCACAGTGATGGTTCAGGTGGCCGGCGTGTAGCGCAATAGCTCACAATGCGTTGCGCACTCGCACTGCCCTTAGCCAAGGCGATGCGGACCTTGGTCTCCAATACGTCACCCAATCTCCGTGGTATGTGAGCACTTAAGAGCGCATGTCAGTGTTTGTCGAGTAAAGCTATTTATCTTATCTGGCCTTGTAATCTGAAGCTAATCTGGCGCTGACTATGAGTCAGTGCACTTCTGCTGAATGCTCGCCACTCGCTGAGATTGTGTATGGTTGCCACGTCGACCCACCATTGTGATTGATACAATGCTCTTTTTGACTGGAGACACGTGCTTGCAAGTTGAGACGAGAAATATTTCAGCATAATCAATAACCTGTTTTGAAAATGTTTCGTGCACATACACGCAAATAAAGCCTATGTTTTGATAGCTATTTAGCTTTACCGCCCAAATTTTACCATTCATATCGGCTATTATGCTGATAGAAATGTAAGCGGAGAGCGTCTCCAATCTAATTCTTTAAAAGTTAGCCGCGGTACGATTAACTGGCGACAGGCGTTTGACCTCGTCTTAGATATTACATAAGGCAACCAGGTACATACGTCTGAGTCTGACTCACGTGACAAAGCGGAGTGAACCTTGGACAAAACGTACGTCTTGCCATGGCGCCGGTACCACTACCTATCTCCTTTTCTACACTTTCTTTAAGGAGTAACGTCGATAAATATCTATTCGTTTACGCATCCCGGTCTGTTTGCCTTGGGTTGTGTGTGATACCTATACAATATACACCAGTATAACGCCTTTTGGGGCGACTAACGGAGCGAGCGAGAGGGTGAGCCTTGCACGTGCGAAATTTCGAGGGGGTACCTCCAGCTGACTTGTGCACGGCACCCTACTAACCGGTATCTAGCGATGTGCCAAATTTGAGCACAATCGGCCCAGCCGTTCTCGAGATCTGGAGGCGGTACCCTGCACGTGCGCACGTGCAAAATGGGTCCCAGCTGACTTGTGCACGGCACCCTACTAACTGCTCCGTAACCGTGTGCCAAATTTGAGCGCAATCGGTCCAGCCGTTCTCGAGATCTAGAATCGACCCCTGCACGTGCGCACGTGCAGCAGCACCCCAACTCTGGCACATGGATATGCATTGCCTAGTGGGTGCCTACCTACATGCCAACTTTCAGCGCAATCGGTCAAGTAGTTACCGAGATATTGCAACAATTGCAAAAGTGACACCTCTTCGTTTTGCACATGGCACGTGCATAAGGGGTCACCCACATGCATCGGGAATAGTCCAATACTTGGTAGAAGGAATGAAGCTACCCTACAAAAATTACCGCATGTAAATCGGTTGAGTGGTTTCTGAGATATAAGCGTCGCAGAATCGTGACCACGGCCGGCCGGCCGGCCGGCCGGCCGCTCATACTCAGAAATTTCCGTTATTCTACGTAAGACTCCGCTCGCTTCGCTCGCTCCGTAATTATACACCAGTATAACGCCTTTTGGGGCGACTAACGGAGCGAGCGAGAGGGTGGGCCTTGCACGTGCGAAATTGCGAGGGGGTACCTCCAACTGACTTGTGCACGACACCCTACTAACTGGTCTCTAGCGATGTGCCAAATTTGAGCACAATCGGCCCAGCCGTTCTCGAGATCTGGAAGCGGCACCCTGCACGTGCGCACGTGCAAAATGGGTCCCAACTGACTTGTGCACGGCACCCTACTAACCGGTCCCTAACCGTGTACCAAATTTGAGCGCAATCGGTCCAGCCGTTCCCGAGATCTGGAAACGACCCCTGCACGTGCGCACGTGCAGCAGCACCCCAACTCTGGCACATGTATATGCAGTGCCTAGTGGGTGCCTACCTACATGCCAACTTTCAGCGCAATCGGCCAAGTAGTTACCGAGATATTGCAACAATTACAAAAGTGACACCTCTTCGTTTTGCACGTGGCACGTGCATAAGGGGTCACCCACATGCATCGGGAATAGTCCAATACTTGGTAGAAGGAATGAAGCTACCCTACAAAAATTACCGCGTGTAAATCGGTCAAGTGGTTGCTGAGATATAAGCCTCGCAAAAGCGTGACCACGGCCGGCCGGCCGGCCGGCCGGCCGGCCGCTCATACTCAGAAATTTCCGTTAATCTAAGGAAAGACTACGCTCGCTTCGCTCGCTCCGTAATCACCATGCTTTTATTTTGGAAGGTCGTTAGATCCTAGGGCAATATTTTAGCTCCAGGCCATGGGTAGATCCCAATGTCTTCCTTGACTCATTCCCTCATTCCCCGCCCGATTCCGCAATGAATCTCTCTGACGGGTAATAGATTTGTGAAGACGCATCCTATTTACGTACGTATGTGTGCTACCTGCACTTGAACCCCACTCCAGCCCGTCATCATATGATTGTTTTGTTTCAGGCACAAATGAAGCTCACTGCCAGTCCCATAGCCTTCGAGCAGTACGACCCACAAACCAAGTCCCTGCTGAAGCAGAACTTTGGCGTGTTGAACAACCTGGAGACGGTGTGGCCGGGTGGCATCTGCCTGCCGTCCACCTACCGCGACATCGCCGACAAGGTGTACCACCTGCCGCTGCGGCCGTCAGACGTCTGGGTCATATCCTTCCCGAAAACAGGTCAGCTATAGCGGCCCTGCACGTATCAAACTGATTGCCAGTGTAACCGTGACTCGGCGTGTCCGTCCACTATCCGTCCATGGCGGCTGGGTGCTTTGATATCAGGGGAAGTTGATAAGAAATAATAAAAGTTCACCTTGCATGAGCTAAGAAAAATCGCATTCTAAGTATCACGGGAAATGTTGCTATCTTATTAGCTTGTTCGATGGTTTACTTCAGAATAACAGTAGCATTTTTACGTTTATGTGTCGGCAGGCTCCACATGGACACAGGAGCTCGTTTGGTGCGTCGGCAACGACTGTGATCTTGCCAAGGCCAAGTCACTTCACATGGACGTGAAGTTCCCGCTGCTGGAGCACTGGATCAACAGCAAAGGCATGATGACCAAGGTGATCAAGCAGAAGGGTGCGAAGACCACCAAAATGTTCACCATGCTCCGTCACAACCCTGAGCTCATGGCGCTAGCCAAGAACGACACAACGCAGATCATGCAGCAGACTCCCGATAACGAGAGACGCTTCGTCAAGACGCACATCTTCTTCTCTCTGCTGCCGCCCCGGATACTGGACGTCTGTAAGGTGAGCTCTGTCACTGTGAACACTGATGTTAGGCTCATGTGACCCTGACATCGCCGAGCCAAGCTTACGGCGGCAGCTCATCCCTGTTGCACTCCGTATCAGAGTGGTATCTGCAGGCCGACACTGACGATAGGCATGTACCGGGTATCGAACCCATGCGTCCTTCTGCGACGAGGCACGGCAGGACCCATAGCCCAACCCTGCCGAGGGTCCTTGGGTCGACCTGAATGTGGCTCATTTCGTGGTAGCGGAACTCGGAAGATTGATTCGGGGAGGTCGAGGCTCGTCTAGGAATTTTCGTCAATCTAAGCCTTGATCTAAGCTGTCTTGAATTTCAGCTCCGGTAGTGCAGAAACGTGTCTACAGATAACGCAGAAGTTTGTGTACTATCTTGCATCTAAGTAGGTGTCAACGCACTGGAGAAATAACAATTCCTTCGCTTAAAATTATGATGCCTAATTGAAGGTTACTTCTCTTACCGAATACTCCCAACTGCACCAGCACCGCAAACAAAGCCAGTAACGATCAGGTCGATAGAGCACGTGCTTAGTTTAAGTGCACGTGGAGGACGGAGAGTACGCTCAAAATGAAACCTAAAACTGCAGTGTACCTACAGTGTGTTCCAGAGCTGAGTTTTTAGGGTCTTGTTGGGAAACCTTTACAAAGTGCTTCACAAAGTGCGTACATCTTTCCTTACAACAGCGATATCCCACAATTTGAGTGTATTCAACCAGGAATTGAATATGCATGCTGATCGTGTGCATCTTTTCTTTTTATTTTAGATAGTGTACGTGACCAGAAACCCGAAGGACACAGTGGTGAGCTACTACCACCACAACCTGCTCTTCAAAGGCCTGTATGAGTTCCGGGGAGACTTCAAGACCTTCGTAGAACTATTCATGGCGAACACATGTGAGTTGAGTTGATGTGTGAGATAAGTAGCATTAGAATATGGCTAACACACGTTTTCAAAACATCTACTATGTTGAAATCCATGTATCGCGCCTACCTATTCGAATAAGTTTCGTACAAATACCTAATTGAATGCGAGATTTTACGTTAGCGGATAGCTTCTGCGTTTGTTGTTTACATCGCATCCTATCAATAACCATGTCAACGTACTCAGAAAATGTCAACCTAAGTGAATTAAATGTATTGTGCACAATATCACCGACGCACACATCTAAATGCAGATTGCATTGAGTAGATGTGATGACACTACAGACACGCCTATCTCGATTGTCACCGGTGCTGTGTGTGTGTGTGTGTGTGCGCCGCAGTGCCGTGGTGCCCGTACTGGGAGAACCTGCGACAGGCCTGGAGTCGGAAGGACCACCCCAACATGTGCTTCCTGGTCTACGAGGACATGAAACAGGTGAGTGCCGATGAGCCTTGGTGTGGCATCTCACTGTATGAGGATAATGGGCGTGCTATCGAGGGGACTGATATCCCAATCATTCAACGTTTATAGGTTTACCGGTCTGCGAAGTGGTCGATGATCTTAAGAGCCCACTGCAGTGCCCCACCATACACGATAAATGCAGGACGATAATCGGATTCAGACGCGTGGTTTATTTGTTTCACTTATAGATAATCCATTGTACACGGCACGGACCACGGTGTTTTGGCTGCTCAAAGGGCTGGTGTCGGCTCACGTTTATAGTTTTGGGAACGGCAGCTGAGCGGTGGGCTGCAGCCAGTTCTCCTCCGAGTACTCAGCTCCGTCCGTTTCCACCACGTGGAACGTGTAGATGTGCCGCGAGCGGGCCGACGTGTTGGCGCTGCTGCGGTGCTGCACCAGGCCGCTGATGAGCACACAGCCGCCCCTCTTCACCGGCACCGGCACGAACGCCTCCGGGTCGACCTCCTGCTGCTGGCCGCGGAACAACAGCCGCGGCCCGGCCGGGTCGGGGTTCCTCACGAACCGGCGCGTGACGGGACCTTTGTGCGAGCCGGGCGCGAACCACAGACAGCCGTTCTCGACGTCTGCGTCCTCCAGGGCCATCCAGAGGCCGGCGATGGCCGACGGCGGCTCCGTGTAGAGGAACGTGGCGTCCTGGTGGGGTGTCACCTCGCCGCCGATGCCCGGCTGCTTGAAGATGTACATCGACTGCGCCACGGCCGGCGCCGAGAAGCGCAGCGAGCGGCACAGCGCGCGCACCTTGTCGCTGAACGTGACGGCCCGGAACTCGGGCACCAGCCAGTGCAGCGCGTGGCCGATCTTGTTGATGGCCAGCGACCGGTCTACAGTCAGCTCCCCGGCCGAGTTGAACGCGCCCTCCTCCCAAAAGAACCGCACCTTGTCGCCACTCTCCAGGAAGTAATCATCCTTGGCTCGAAGGTCTACCTGCAACAGACGAAAGCAAAAAACTTCGAGAGAGGAGAGGCCGTGAGTGTGGACTTGCGCTTATTATTTACATGCATAGTACTGAAAGACAGGAGTTTGTCAGAAAGGCTCTTCTCGTTTATGATACGCAATGCGTATGGTCGCTAAGTGGACAATGCCAATGGAACAGCCCCGGCAGCTTTTTGTATGATGCGTATAGAGAATGGTGTCATGCCATCTATAGCGGCAATTCCCACCCTTTTGTTTTTGTTCCTTTTTCGCGAACATATAAGAAAACAGCGGCGCATCTTATCCTCTATCTTTCCTGCAAATATTGTAAAAATTCACATTCAGGCGGGAATCAAACCTGGATGGCTGAAATGGTGAAAACTATAAAGCGCATTGACGAGTTGAGAAAGTACTCATTTGTGAAGATTCGCCGTATCCCTCCAACGCCCGTTGGTGTTGTGATGTGAGCCGTACGGCTGCGCCCGCGGTGTGTGCGCGGTGTCACCTGACGGTCCTCCAGCGTAGTGAAGATGCTAATCCGGTGCTCCGCCGGGTCCAGGCCGTCCACTATCCGCGCCCGCGCCGCCTCCAGGGACGCGACCTCCTGGTTGGAAAGGAACTCGGGCAGCACGAGGTAGCCATCCTCCTCAAACTGACGCAGCTGGCTGGGAGTGAGCATGGCGCCGTGCCGCACTCCTGCGCCGCTGACCCACGCGTCACCACTGACCAGTGACCGCCGTCTCGGCGCCGGCCGGTCGGATAAACAGCCGGCCGACCGCACCAGACGGCCGCTGGGGGCTGGTCTCGGCCAGCGGGACCCCGTGTCCACCAGGCGTCCCGCCGAGCTATCCCACTTATATAAACAACCGAGTTACGTCTGATACTGGCTAAAACTGAGCGCCCTTTCCGCGCCATATACCAACTCAAGGCCATTAGGGTGCGTGGAATTTGTACAATGCTGCTTTTAAAATAGCATTCTCTAGAGAACGGATAGTACCAGGTACGACCGTTATATTCCGCAGCCGTTTGAAAAATCAAGACGAGCTCCCACCATCTCTAAATTATGGTGCAGCTTTCCAGTTTCACAAGTCTAGGTCGCATATGTTTTCTCGCCACTCCGTTATCCCGGGAAGAAGGGAGAACATTGAGAGCTAATGAACTTTCCACCGCTAATATTATCTAAATGAGGCACAGACTTCTGTTGGGCACAAACTTTTTATCAAACGTGAAATTGTAGACAGATAAATAGCATTTCCCGATAAAGTGCACCCAAGACGAACGGACATGTATACATATAGTATCATGTACGTATGTACGTACGGCTCTCGCGAGATTACGCGGTAGGTTTTGCACTTTTACATTTCCGGTTATATCTCAGAAACTAATCGATCTACGATGAAGCCATTTTACACGATCATGGCCGGCTTGTTACCCAACAAGTCGATCGCACCTTCAACACTTAAAAGCTTAAGACGACGAAGATATAGCCTGAAGTACACTATATTTTCTAGGTGCAAAACCTACCGCTAAAACCCGCGAGACCTGTACAGTCGAGAAGGTACAGGTTAATCGATAGGGATTCGATCTATTCGTTGTAAACAGCGTACAGTTAGGCTGACCCGCTTAACTTCAAAGTCATGCGGCACAGTCGACCTGCAGTATCATGCGGCTACTGCCTGTGCTGCGGCCCGGGTGAACAGCGATTAAAGAGTCCCTTTCGATTAACTTGTAGCCGACTGTACCAATCACAAGTATATGCTCGCCCGAAATCGAAATCGTTATACTTCATTAGTCTTGATTGTTGTTAGCACTGTTTTGAGAGACATGCTTAAACATATAATCAAGTAAAGTAACCGTACTCTCATAGTTAATATCCAAAATCTTAAGAAAAGGCCTGATTCAAGACACCTGAAGTTGAAGTCTTGAGTTGGAGCGAGTTGAAGAAGGCGTAAGCCGAAAGCTCCTCGGAATTATCAGGCCTTTTCTTACGATTTTGGATATTAACTATGAGAGTACGGTTACTTTACTTGATTATATCGTTATATTTCACCCTGTCGTTGTGACGGGTATAACTCACGCTGACCCGACCCTTGCCTTCGTGCCGGTATTTCGCACTGACCCGACTCCTTTCCTTGTGAAGGACCTGGCCGCCGCAGTCCGAAAGGTCTCCGACTTCCTGGAGAAGCCGATGACGGAGCAGCAGGTGGTCGACCTCTGTGACCACCTCAGCTTCAGCTCCATGAGCAAGAATGACAAGGTGAACCGAGAGGTCTTCAGGGACGTCCTCATGCACGAGAACAAGTCGGAGAAAAAGTTCATCCGGAAAGGTAAGACGCATGAAAAATCAGTCTTCTCTACTATCAATAAGTCTTACTCGTATGTGTCGATTTAAAACATTGCTGCACGTAAACGGAATAAATATGCAATTAAGAAATTCGGTAAGGCAAATCACGTTTAATATTTAACAAGGACTAAGAGGAAAATGTGTGGAACTTCGTCTAGCGTTGATAAAAAGACGTCCCTTTACTTATCAAAGGTCATTCGTCTCATTAATTGAGCCCTTCAGTGCATTAGATTGGTGGTGGGTGTATGACTGTTGGGACTTCGCTCGACTAACCTGTCAATTTCACTTTTTGCCCAATAAAGGCCAGATCGGTGACTGGAAGAACTACTTCGACGAGGACCTGAACCGTCGGTTCGACGCCTGGATCGCGGCAAACAGTGAGGGCATCGACATCCAGTTCCAGTACGAATGACGGCCGCCGATGCTGGGTGGTGGTGCCAGGACTCGTGAGGGGTAGGACGGTCTGACGTCTCTGCCGATGCCGCTCTCTGGGAAAGGATGGCGACTTCGGCCGCTCTCCAGGAAAGGACAGCCGTCTCTCCCGTTCTCAAGGAAAGGGCAGAGACCTCGCCAGCTCTCTAGGGAAAGAGCAGCGGTCTCGCTCGTTCTCTGTGAAATGACAGTGGCGCAGGCCACTGTTATCAGTGGCGCAAGTGCGTCGAAAGGACAGCAGCCTCGCCCTGCGGCGAGCCGCGCCGGAGCCGACCGGCTGCTTGCGCGGTACACATGCAACTCAGGAGTGCAACTAGCAAGTGCAACAATATGCGAAAGACGGCAAAGTCAACATTTATGAAATAGTGTGCGCCAATGAATTGTAGATGTGCCTAACTCTGCGACAACGACAAGGAACGAGCCAAATATCCAACCACGTCGTTTCTTCATGTCCGGACTTGTACAAGAGGCTGAAGAGGGGCTAGAAAGCTGGAAGGAAGCCTAGGGGTTGGGGGAATTGTGTGGGCATGGTAGGCTTTGTGTGTCATCGTACGTTGCAGAAGAATCGCAGAAATGGTAAAACTGCCAATGTGAAATTATGGCGTGCAATTACTTGCGCTTGTACCGGACCGCTCTACGATTGTATACATACATTCATTGTTCATGTTACATATTTCTAAAGAATTGTTTTATTCCCGTATTTCAGGAACATTGTATGCTATATGTCACCTGTTAACCGACAAACCGAAAGAGGCGAAATATTGTTAGCATTCGTTGCATTTGTCGTGCATCTGAGATTAACCCTGACTTGAGGGGACCGAATGGGATCAGTGTTTGTGATAAAGTGGATTGAAATATAGGTGACTGTTTTCAATGTGAGAACATATGTGATGAATGTGAGAACCGTGCATTTTTTCAGTCCCTTCATAGCTATCGTTGATATAGTCGAAACTCTCTTGGTGGTACAAATTTCATTGCGTTGTAAAAAGACACGAGAAATGCTATGTCTCTCCCGTCCCGTTTATTTTCAAGCTCATGCAATGTGCATCCAATACGAATGTATTATTGTTCGGTACCGATTCACGACCTTCTGCGTCAGCTCAGAACCCTCCCGATGCCGGATGCAGGCAGCACGGCCATCTACTCTACAGCCGGCAGTCTCCCGGTTTCACCTGTGACCCGGCGACGAGACGAGGCCACTCAACTCGCTATTCTACTGTTGAGTGACAGGCACTCACATTATCTAACCCTTAGACGGATGACACCACCGACATGCCATGCACATCGTAGACGGAGGGCAATCGGTTACATTTACCGGATCAGAGGCGGAGGGCACCTGGTACCTACTCACTACTCAGTGGCAGATACCGAATCAGACACGACGAGAAGACACTGTACTTTGACAATGCGATATGAACATTAGGTACTCAGTATAAAGTTCATAATCTTATCCCGCGCCGTGCCGGTGGTCTGCGTTTTCCGTGTCATGATGGGGGGGGGGCGTATCACTTTCACGCCTCCCCCCCCCGCCATCTAACTCGGCTTCTGGACCACGTAGCAACACGCAGTAAGCGGCATTCAAAAGAGCGTTAAAAAAAACAATGAAAACATATTCCAGTGTTTTCTTTTTTGTCAGGTCAAAGCTAAAGGCCAGGTCACTAGAGGGTTCCAAAGGTCAAATTTTGCCCATTTCAACAAGTTTCGACGGATCGGTGTATAGCCCGGGGCCAATAAAGCTACAGCGCCGCGGATATGCGTATTCAATAGCTCTTTATATTTACCGCTCTTTCTGCAGTAATCCTTAGATTTGACATGAGGTAAACGGATTAGCCTCCAGTGGCCGTATTCACAATCACTGGTGGTTAACCCGCGCCCCGCTGGGCTATTCAGCCATACGCGCCCTGCTGGGGGGGGGGGGGACAGATTCCGCCCTCCCCCTGTCTAACTTCCGAGCCGATGGTCGTATAGAAAGACGGGGAAAACGGCAATCGAAAGCTCTCAACAAGGCGGATCTTAAGAGTCGAATTTTTTGCTTAAGTAGGTCAGAAGTCAGATCGAGGTCAGGTCAAGGGTACAAAATGCAAATTTCGGGCTACAGTAGGTATCGGCCTTGCACCGTACCGTAGTTGCCGAAAAATGGACTGAGACTGGTTGCCCAAAACGTGTTCTTAGGCTACCGAGACAATATTCGTTGCATACAATATCATGCAAGGTCAAGGTCACAAGGTCAAGGTCAAGGTCAGGTCAGGTCACCAAAAACGAAATATAGAAAAGGGCACGTGCGACACATGTTTTATGGGTCATTTTATTCATAGAATTCAATAGACACACTCGATAAGTGATATGGACCACATGTTAATGAATTTCAGATCGAGGTCAGGTCAAAGTCAGGTCAAGTGAGGTCAAATTTTGAAGTTGGTTGTTAAGACCTAAAAAGGTGTGTATCTGATGCAGTTTTTCACGACGAATCGAATGGTGCTATTTTTGTTTCCGTACGAGGTCTAGAACGTCAAAAAAAAAACATTTAAAAAATAGCGTCGTGACGTCATAAAGATTTTAATAACTCACATTTTTAAACCGATTCTTCTAAAAATGGTATGTCGAGGTGCCATAGATCACTTCTCTGACATGTATTCCGTTTTTTTTTTTCGATACACTCAAAATTTTGGATTTTATAATTGTGTTCCCAAAAGTCAGTTTTTAACATTTGGGCCAAAATCCCAAATTAAAAAAAAAACGAGACAACCATTTGATGGACAAAATAAAATCACGTATAACCTTTTTTGTTGCGTATTGATTGCTTTAAAAATGAAGATGTTAGGGGCGTTTGAAGTTTTGCGGTTTTTGAGGCGAAAATGGCGTGACATGACGTCACTTAAACGTCATTTTCTCAAACGATTTCCGACGGATTTCGCTCATATTTTCAGTGAACGTGTCAAATTGATGTATGATAAGGTACTGAAAGTTTGACGTTGATGACGTGACGCGTTTAGAAGTTATTGGCGAAAAACAGGAGGGCGGCAGATTCTGCCCCTCCCAACGGGGCGCGGGTTAAGGGCAGGGGTAAGAGTAAC